GAGAGAGAGAGAGAGAGAGAGAGAGAGAGAGAGAGAGAGTTTCAGAAAGTTCAGGATCTACTTACGCTCCCCTGTGGTGAGGTTTACGTGGAAATTTGGAACCGTAACCGATCTCGAAGCTGAAGCATCCACCATTGATATGGTTGTCACCAAGAATGTAGTTGATCTGCTCCACGGCAAACTTCCTGAAATGGGTTGGGTTGATGTTTTCCTTCGCAGCCAGCAAAGCCAGGAATGCAGCATTGGCTGTTGGAAACATTAACAAGGAAATTTGGACGGATTAAGACACAGACAAAACAGAATAAAAATATTATACCGCGTGGAGTCTGTTCTAATTTTAACATGTTTGGATCTAGTTTGTTATCAGACAACAGAAACAAAGAGAGAGAGAAGGAAAAGCAGTGATTTTAGAAGGGGGAGGGGGGTGTAGCCATTATGATGCCATCAATTATAAAAGAACTATAGATAGATAGATAGATAGATAGATAGAGAGAGAGAGAGAGAGAGATAGATAGATAAAACGATAGATAGATATATAGATAGATAGATAAATAGATAGATAGATAGATAGACAGATAGACAGATAGATGGATAGAGAGAGATAGATAGATAAAACGATAGATAGATAGATAGATAGATAGATAGATAGATAGATAGATAGATAGATAGATAGATAGATAGATAAATAGAACCTTTCCATAGTATTTCCTTCTGATGGCAGAGCGGTACGCCGGTGTCTGTGGTGCAGCGGTTCAGCGTTTCGATGTCGCATGCAGGAGACGCAAGTTCGATTCCAGACCAGAGACAATGTTATATTTTACAGAGTATCTTAATCTTTCTTCTTACATGTTTTTTCTCTCTCTTTCTCATTTCGGGTTGGCTCTAACAGGTTGGCTCGAATCGTTAGTAATGAACTTAATCGTGTCGTTGGGAGCGTTACAAATACTTACACTTTTAAAGCGGTATGACGACATACAAAGCACTCATCTCGAAATATCCTAATTTCTTATTTGATCGCCAAGTCTGTCTTTTGAAAAGAGGAAAGTGTGGTCTCGCATAGTCGCCTTACGGTAGTAATGTATTGTATGATTCAATTTAAGGAACCTGGAAAAAGACCCCTGCCTCAAGTAATTATCCTGGTGAAATCAACAGCTTGTCAAAACTATGAAATCAAATAAACCATATTTCCACCTATTGGCAATTTTTCTTAACTTTCATTTCATGTTAGTTTTTGTTTGTTTGTTTGTTTGTCTTTTGAATGTCTGTCTGTATGTTTGCTGTTTTAAGGGGGGAGGGGGGGGAGCTCAGCAGCTTTTCTGACGAAATAAATCATTCTTCTGTGTGATTTTTTTATATTAAAGTTCATTAAATCAAAGGAACAAGAAACAAACAAACAAGACACCTCCCCCCTCTTTGGCCTTCACAAAACTTTGGAGGCCATTTTCTCTCTTATTTCACCTCTAAAAGCAGGCGACTTCCATCTTCATTAATTGCAATGCATGGATCTCGATTTCTACTAAAAACGGGTATTTTTGTACCGAAAGCTTTAAGGTCATACCTATAACTCCAGAACAAATAAAAAAAACTAAAGCAAATAAATAAAAGATGAGCGTCTGTTTCGACCGTGTTCTGTCAATACCTGCGTATCTGTTGGAGCCCCAGTCATCTCTGGCCGCTAAACCACACGGAAGTTTTTTTACGTTCCCACCGGGCAGAAACTGGTTTAAAAAATTGGTGACGTCATTTTTGTATCCGTTGTTGCCCTCCTGGTACAACAGGAACTGGGGAGACATAAATTCACACACGTTATTTTACAGTGCATGCACTCGAGTAGACATTTTAAAAGTATATTAATCATTATTCATTTCTTGTCACCACTCAATATGCCAAGTCATGGGTTAAAATATTATGTTTATTAAATGTTAAGCAGTCCAAGTGATCTATCTCTATATTTGCTTAGATCCCATTAGATTTCATTTACTATTATCTCAGCCCAAATTATTTTGTATATTAAGTTGCAAGTTGCGCGCTCGAACGTTGGAACCTGGGAGGCTAAATCTAATTCAAATTAATTTGTATAAAACCCCCCACAAAATCTTGTTGTATGGAAGGGAGAAAGAGCCGTGTGGAAAGGTGAAGCTTTTGGGTTCGTTAACTCAATTTCTAAACAAAAAATGCAATAACAAAATAAAGACATAGGCAACAGCTGCAGCTGCACTTGGCGGGAAAGGATACACAACTTCCGTGTTGTCTCCCTCTTATGTCGGGTTGTCTTTCACCAACCGAGTCAAAACAGTGAAATGTCAAATAAATGGCTTGTTATTTTCATGAAACACGCATCAAATAGTTCACCTTTAAGAAAAACACTCAACTTCCCTTCATCAAATCCGAAAAACACACAACCTCACCTCATCAAATTTGTGCTTCTTTCAGAAAAAAAACACACAACCTCATCAAATTTGTGCTTCTTTCAGAAAAAAAAGTGTGTGAGCGCTTCATCAACTGCTTGCTCTATAGTATACTTCCATGGAGGTTTAGAGAGTTTATTTTTTTCAGGCTATGCTCGAGGTAATGACAACGTAAAGCACACAAAGTTTGCCTAAGAACGGGGATACGCGTTGTACACTTTTTTAAAATTCATTGATTCATTTAATTATTACGTTATTCATTTCATTTACTTCTTTATTGATTGATTGATTGATTGATTTTTTATTATTGTTATTATTACTGACGGGAAAGTAATACATAATTTGAAAAAAGAATCACAACTGCTGCGTCCCAGCCATGACCCCGCAGCATCACCTTCTCATCCTTTGACCTACCTGGCAGGCTACTTTCTTGTCGCCCCAGCTCAAGGCCCATGGAACTCCAGCCTCATAGAAGTGCTTAGCATCGTTTAGATACTTAGAATCTTTGGTTGCACGGTACAGCCAAACGGCCCCAAGGCACATCTCGTCTTTATAACCGCCATCTCTGAGGGGGAATTAGATTGAATTTAGAATAAGTTCAGAACCCCGTGCGGTTACATCTGCTTATACATAGACAGTCTGCTTTTTATGCAACTGGGATACACTAGTGGACAGTGGTAAATAACGCTTACCAACTAAGTGAGGTAAGTTGGGTTTTTTAAACTAGTGACCTTCACGATTTGGCGTCTTTTAATGCTATGCTACCCTATTTGGTTATTTGGCCTATTTCTTTCCATGAAATGCGCACAAGGGCTTAAGCGCAAGGATTAGTATAATATTGTCACTCAGTTAGTGTCCTGATTTTATGACAGTCTTGCTACTACTGGGCTAGCTGACCGGCTTCTGTGGTGTAGCGGTTAGGCTCTTCGCCGTTGCATACACGGGGCCCAAGTTTTATTTCCGGGGGGGGGGGGGAGTGGGGGGGGGGTGGTATCGAGTATCTCAGTCGTTCCGCTGGTATGTTCTTTCGATCTCATCTGGGTTTCATTCTAAAATGAAGGGTTGACGTCGCTTCCTTGTGTCTAAATCATGTCGTTGGAGTAGTATATTATAAACACCGACATTATTTTGCTGCCTCAGAATTACAATGATTTATCTTACATTTTTGGCTGTTTTTGGACTGATAAGGCCATGAGCTTAGAAACTAAATGCTTTATCTGATCTATCGTAAAAATATTCGGAGCCGTTATCAAGAAATTCAAAGAATTGCATTGGAAAAAGCTTGACATTTTAATTGAGAAACTCAAAGAAGTTGACGTCAAATTTCTCAAAACTAGGCACTGAGCAGATAGAACTTTATAATTATAATTCTATGCTAGTTATGTGTCTGAATATAAGACGAGCCGCCTCACTTGTAGAATTTTTCAGATTTCGTGAACACTCCAGGGTGAGCTTTGGCAAAGGCATACAGGCTCTTAGCTGAACTCAGGAGACCGTTAGCGTAGTTGTGGTCTGGGGACAAGTTGAAGTACCATTAGTCAACACGAAAAAGACAGCACCTCCCCGGTAACGGATACAGATAAGTTTCGCAGACCCAAACTTTAAACAAACAAACTGAAGAATAATAATGATAATACTAATAAATAGCATTCGTACAGCGCATATCCCCACTCGAAAGTAGGCGCTATGCGCTTTACACTGTACAATTACCCCAGCAGACCATAGAACACTCAGAAACATTCTCAGCTTCCAGGGAAGCATACAGAGCAAGCAGCTGGTTCAGCGCTCAAACACTAACAAACTGACAAGATATTTCACTGTCTATAGCTGGGTACCCATTCCCACCTGGGTGAAGTGGGGAAAATTCGTGTAAAGTGCCTTTCCCAAGGATACAACGTCGGGCCCGCGGCTCGAACCCCCGAACCCGCAACAAACAAACCATGTTATCCCCGAAAAACTGTTCATCTGTTCTAAGACCAGTAAATAATATTTTCCCGGATGCAGAGCACACGAGTTCATTCGTATAACAACAATTACTTACATTGCGTGAATTTTCTTGCCTTTTTTCAACACTTGGAGCCTGAATTTCCACTAAAATATTTCTTACTCACATGCAGACGATATCACAGTTTCTGAAACTGCAAGAAAAATAATTCAACATTTTCGATTTAGTATTTATTAACAACAGCAAAATGTGCAAGATTATGCTCACTCACCTTTTTGTTTGAAAACGAGGTATCCAAGAGCCATAGCAGCTGCTGTTTCTCCAGCAATGTCGCTTCCTGGGTTGTGGCTGTCGATGTACATACATGGTCTAGACATTTTCATGTCCTCTGGACGACCCCAGTACGCATGGTCAGCATCGCCGTCTCCCACCTGTGAAGGAGGTGATATGTTCAAAGTAGAATAAATAAAGCCTTTTTCTGCTCGTTGGGTAAAATCTATCGTTTCTTTTCAGCACAGAACCATTTATGATCGTTCAAAGACTTATTTCAATGTAAATTTTACTTAAACACATTGATCAAAAGCACAAAAATATAAATATCTAAGGTGGCTTATTTTTACAGTCGATATCAGGCGACACCGCACCTTCTTCAATCGACTTCTATTTAAGATAGATGTGCATTCCATTCATTAAAAAAACCCAACAAACAAACAAACTTTGAGATAACACCAATAACTAAACAATGCCTAAAAAAATAACGAGCGCCTGATTCCACTACGTCATGAACCAATCCATCACGTCTCTCACTTGAGCTGTCAGTTTATGCGCATGCGCATTCCAGGCCGCCTTGAAGTAGTTCAGTGGCGTCTTAAGCATGTGGTACATCTGGTTCAGTTCACCCGCCTGCGTATAACCGTCCCTAAACTCATAGAGACCCCACATCAAAAGATGGGAAGATGCCGCCATAGGAAGTCCAAACTTTACGTGGTCTCCAGCTGTTGAAGACAGTGAAGGTGGTTAATGAACCAAAGAGAATATGAGACAGACTTCTTTGAGAACGCGCTAATGTTCTGATTAAGCTACTAGCAACAAACGACTGAATTCTGAACCTCCCCCACCCCCTCCCCCCCCCCTTCTCAAAAAAATAACTAAGATTATTGACCCCCCCACCCTAAAAGTGGCACCAGTAGACTAAAACAATGGAGACCACGAATATTCGTAATGGGTCAAATAAGTTCCAAACAGAGGGCGAAAGTTTACCTTTACTTTTATAACTGAAAGAATACGTACCGTCATACCAGCCACCAACTGTGCAGTCATGCATGGCCGAAGAGTGACGCCATGGGATAATGTGATCATTGATGGGACCCGAGCGCTGAGCCTCATAGAATAAGATGGACTTTTTCAACGCTAGCTTATAGTCCTTGGCTCCTGTGTAAGAGAACGGGAATGACTTTAAAAGGTATAAATATGTGTCATAACACAGTCGAATCAGGCACTCGTCAATTTTGGGACATATGGAGGTATTGGTATCATCTCTGTATCCTGTCCATTTGCCTCGCGTTTGATGAAAAAAGTATCAATGTATCATTTACAAGTCAAGATATAGGCGTTTGAAGGAGGTGGGCAGCCGCGGTTCGTCCATGGAGCACAGTCGTGCAGTGCCGCCCAACATTTTTTTAAAATTGTTCTTTTACGTAAAGCACTCACAAAAATAAAATAAAAGACGACAGAAATAAACACTAGTCAAATATTGTATCAAAACAAGGTCCTTGCTGGCTCTGCAACTGTATTTTCTGTGTCTATAGTGCCGTAAAACATCTACATGTGTACTATGCCATGCCAAAGCCTACGCGCTCTAACTAAACGTAATAGGAGATTCAACAGTGGTAACCTGATCTATAAATCGCTCTTTGGGATAACCTAAGCGATGACGACAGTCGTTGCGAGTTTGGCGGTACATTAATATTAATAAGTCGGCACATCCCAAATGTGCTCCTGCCGAATAGTGCCGAAACATAGCCCACAGTAGGCAGTCTAAAAATAAACGCCATATACTGTACACTACTATTCTATGCCAAAATTATGTGAGCCCCGGAGCAACCCAGCAGAGTGCTCAAGAGAATTCTGATTGGTTCATTGTCTTGTCACTAGGCTATTTTAAGCGACTCTGTGACCGTGAACCTGAGGGAGGTGAACGTGACATACTCAAGTCACCGTCCTATGATTTGTGTCTTTGAATGTTTTTGTTGTGGAGTGGTGAAAGTTATTACTTGAGTGTTCAGTTCTAATGCAGGATGGTTAGCTAACAAACAGATTTAGCTCTAGAAATCAAAGCGACAAGTAAAACGAATGAAAATAAAAGCACGAGCTCCTCTCTCACCAACCTAAAGATCCTTAAACTACACACCATCCCATTTACTATGCCCTTGACTATCTTCAGCCTGTGATAGCTTAATTAATTGTGAACGCCCACTTTTTAGCCCCACGAGCCGCCCCTGGAGGTGGGGGTTACCTAATTTTTGGAGGTAAAATTAGCGAAAAATTGGCTGCCAAATTTGAGTTATTTCCTTAGCTTGAGAGTCTGTGGAAACTGAAATTTTACAACTGATATGCCTTCAATCAATGTTTTTCAGCAAAATTCTTTAGTGGGCATGAAAGGTGTAGAGCCAAAAGACAAAAATTTGATTGACAAAAAATTCCCAAACGTGGGGGAAAAGGCCAGTTTCTTGACTTTCCACTTTTTTGACGTGCACCTGATTTCACCACGCTGCCTCACATATGATTAACGCCCCTATCAACTCTGTTAAGTTATTTAAGAAGCGGGGCGTTCCAGTTCAACGTCCATCTCCGAAAGGAACGAGCCAAGTGGGAAATTCACGTAAAGTGCCTTTCCCAAGGACACTACGTGGGACCGAACTGAGGCTCGAACCCCCAAACCCACAATCTCACAAATAGTGTACATTCAATTTCACGAATTGATGAACAGAACAGAGGACGAATTTTTAACAAAACCATAAACGACGGGGTTGAACTGTATTTAAACGTATTTGCATTTAAATTTACACAAAAACACATGAACGCTTACACACACAAATACACAAGCATGGACAAACACAAACTCTCACACACACACACACACACACACACACACACACACACACACACACACACACACACACACACACACACACACACACATAAACACACAGAGAAAAATTCGTGGCGCAACTTATCTTCAAATATCTCTTTAACGGGTGAATCAGCAGTTTGTCTCAATTTGTCGTGACTTAAATAAAAAATTTTCGACAACAATTTAAGCTCTGCGGAAAATGGAATTGTTCGCAGCACTCCCCGCTTCTCACACTCATTTTGAGTGCGCATATATGGCCAACGTCACAGCTCACCAGAGACACTTTTTCGTGGCAAAACTAGTTACAAGAAATTCATTTTATAGGGAACATTTTTTTGCACTTAACGTTCTCAAAACATGCGTTCAATAAACATAATCCCCCCATTAGAAACAAATAACGGATTTTCTTTTAAAAGCGATGTTGTCCCAGCTGTAAACCTTTTTAAATCTGTAGAAACCACACACTGAGATTTTGTTATTAGTATGTATTAAGGAATTTTTTAGAATAGAGATAAAAGGTGTTTAGAAAAACATTGATCTCTTAAGACAAATTAATACTTCTCATTGTGCAAAATCTGGAGAGTTTATTTTGAATAGTCGAGAAGATATTTGACAATAAATTGCGCCCCGAATTTTTTACCTCTCTAAAGGTGTTATCTTGATTTCCCATGTAGTGAATACAAAATGTGCGCGCAAATGCCTATTTTACTGCCTAGCGTGCTATTTGTTACTCAGTCAGGTTTCACTTGGGGATGAAAGAAAACGATCGGAAAAAAAGATGAAAGACGAAAAACTGATCGTACAAATATTCAAATACTAGTACAAATATATTTACGACAGTAACGAGGGCTTCGAAAATTGTCAAGGGTACGCGATTGGGGCTCAGTTAGACCAGTAGGCCAACAATCTGGTCGGGTCGTTCTCAACTGTTCGTTCGTTGGTGGACACATATTCCGAAAATGAACAAATCGATTTGCTTCCCCCATACCCCCCCCCCCAAAAAAAAGGGTTTATTAATATACTTTCATAAACTCCACACGAATGCATTCCTAAACAGTTGTACACATTCTCTTGCACAAACATACAAACGTGCACACAAACTCACCAGCAGCCAGAGTTGAGGCCCCCACAAGGAGGAGAACAGACAGCAGGCACAGTGACGTCATTCTGAAACAATATACAAGCACGCCCTTGACAGTAACATTGCCTTTATCTGCAAGGGAATATTTGACTTCACAGCAAAGTATTAAAGGTATACTGCCTTATTTTGAACATAAAACGTCAAATGAACATGCAGCCTTTAATATCAAAATCACAATACGACTAATACTTCTTCCTCTAAAATTGTCAACGGTGAAGGCTTCACAGTAGTGATGGGCAGGTATCGATACCAGGTACTCGATACTTAGATACCTATAGGTATCGGTATCGGTACCGATACCTGCTCTAAACATCGATACTTATGTGCTATTTATCCCAGGGCTGCCAAAGCAAGTGACTTGGGCCTTGAGAATTTTTTGTTTATCAAAACTGATAAGTTTTCGTAGGGGGCAAGCGTTTTAAATTATTCTAGTGATTTTTTAACAAAAAGAGAGAAGTTTTTCATGAAATGTATCTAGTGATTTTAAAAAATCTTCACTGACAACCCTGATTTATCCTCATTGGTTTAATTTAAAGTTGCTAAAAATCTGGTAAATTGAATTGCCTCTTTAGAACTCTTGTGTTTTTATTTTCCAATACTAACATTTTCTGCAAAGTTGACTTTCCTCCCATACTTCACTTAATTTTTTATTTTATTCTAATATTTGGGTATTTCTCTCTCTCTCTCTCTCTCTCTCTCTCTCTCTCTCTCTCTCTCTCTCTCTTTTTTTTACAAATAATTTTTGTTTGAGTCTCAGCTAAATAGTCACAACTTGTCTAGACACGATTACCTAAATACTTGGAAAAGTATAGTTGTATTTTTGTCTTTACTTATTAACCCAGGCGTATGTTACCAATAGCATTAGGTATCGGTATCGATACTCTGAAAAAGTACTAGGTATCGACATCGATACCTAAATTGTGGTATCGGCCCCTCACTACTTCACAGGCAGGAGGCAGGTAAAAGAAAAACTGCCTTTTTTTCGAACTCAGAGCAGTGATATCAAACGCAAATTGTTGTTATCAAAATTACAATACTGCTACTTCTTCTTTGTCTTCATAATATTTTATCTTTATCTTAACATTATTGCGCCTGTTATCTTTTTTTCCAAAGTTTATTTCAAATCTCGCAAATTTCTAATCCTGTTACAACAAAACTTAGACATTTTTGCGGCACGGAAAATAACAGCAAAATTACTTTTGGTCTATCTCTTCCTCTAAACAATTGCATTACTGTCGATAGCAATGGAAAAGCTTTACCTGTTAAGCAAAGTGCTTGAAGACAACGAAGAACAATTAATGGTGGCATTTATACCATAAAATATAAGGACATACGAGTACTTTCTGACCCGTCTGTATTGCAAAAATCATGAAATAAATGTGGACGGTTTACATTGTTCTAAAGAAGGGCCAACACCAATTTTTAAAAATAGCTAAGACGCCGCTTATCTTTATTTTCAGCAGTGCATAATTTGACCTCTTCACGGTTATAACAAGGAGAGAAAGAGAGAGAGAGAGAGAGAGAGAGAGAGAGAGAGAGAGAGAGTTAGAGAGACAGACCAACAAGCCGCCGGCAGACAATAGTTTGTGGTTGAGGAATAATGTCCCTTCCCCGCCCATCTTCCTCATTTCCCCAGACTTAATCAAAGAAAAAATACTTGCACATTTTTGGGTGAAAGAGAACATTTAACTTTAAAAATAAATTTATGATATTACGATGTTTTCCTTTCTTTTGCTGCTTAACGTCCAATTTACTTTTCCCACTTCATTACCTCATGTCATACTGTGTTTCTTGTTTGCTTTAGGTTTGTCCATAAGTTGTTCATGGACGGTGATGCAAAAGCCCGTCAACCAAACCAGAGATCAGTAGATAAAAATATCACTTTTTGGCAAACTGGGGTCGTCATAATAAGTTGACAGCCTTCTATTTCTTCTACTTCTGCGTTCTTCACCTCTTTAGCCCCTCTTCGTCTTATTCGTTCAATCTTTATTTATTTTCTCAGTAATACACAATGAAATAAACCCTATCTCTCTCGCTTACTCACTCAGCCAATATCTAATTATCCCTACACCCATGATTTCAAAGGCAGGTAAGATAAAGCCCTTAATCTTGTCGGAAAAAGATCTTGGAGAGCCGCTATTCACTTTGGGCATGTTTAGGATACTCCTATTGTTAAAGATCGTAAAACAGTAGGCCGATAGGCCGCCACCGAGGCAAAATTGAGAGTTAAAAAAATAATCCCTAACATACGAAATACCCCTAGTTGCCCTGCATATCTGTAAAATAGGAAAACACCAATACACCATCTCTAGTCCAAACAATGAATCGGCTCTGGAGCATATTACGGAAGTCAAGATCTGAAGGGAGGGAAGTAGTACTCTGGGTAAACTACAGCCTATACGCCTATCGTCCTGGGCAAAATTGTAACATGCATATTGCTTTAAGGTTGTCTGTCAAGACGTTAAAGGCCATACCCACTTTTCGTAATGGATGTTGATGTTATTGGTGATCAAGGTCGTTATAGTCTTGACGATTACAATCATTGTGATTGATAGAATTCGTATAGCTCTCTCTCTCTCTCTCTCTCTCTCTCTCTCTCTCTCTCTCTCTCTCTCTCTCTCTCTCTCTCTCTCACTTTATTTAAAACATAATATTTTGTACTTGATTTTAAGAAAACCTCCTCTCGTTTCAGTGTGAATTCCATTTCCA